TGGGAACTTTGGCTGCCGAGTGAAGGCGCAGCAGGTGCAAACAGCCACAGCTGGCAGTGAAAGGTATGAAAGCAGCAAGCAAAGACTTCCTCTGTGGTTGATGCCGAAGTCTCAGGGCTGGTCTCCAGAGAGGCTGTGGGTGGGGGAGTGCAAAACAACTATTGTGAAGCTCTTCCCGTTTTGTCAGTGATGGCTGAGCTTGCCACAAGCCTCCCGTGCTGAGTGTACATCTGAGCCCTTTTGTTAGCAGCAAGTTTCTGCCAAGTGCCTGAGGACAGAGCATGCCCACCATCTGCAGCAGCTCTGCCATGCTTTCCTTACCGGCTGTCAGCCCAAGGTTGAGTGGTGTTTTCAGATTCCGTTTCTGGCTTTGACTGCAATTAATTCAGAACCACAGAGTTCACCAGCAAGCAGATTTCCCTTCCTGGAATCATGCTCGTAGCTGTGGCATCCCAGTTCCTCTGATGCATTCACTCCTCCAGTTGTTTTGTACCTGTCAGCAGGCAGGACAGGCTGTGCTACAGATAGGTGGGAAAAAAGTCAGAGAAGAGTTCTGTGTGTTGTAAAAAATCAAATGCCTCCAGCAAATAGCTCAGCAAAAAACAGAATTGAAAGTGGTTCTGCTGGAAGCCAGAGTATCCCCAGGTGTGCTAGCTGACAATTAGGGAGTGTGCAGCCCCTCACAGGGGGAGATTTCGGTGATGGGGTTCTTGTGTTCAGAAACTGCCCTCCTATAACCAGACTCTCTGTTCTCCAGAGCCAGGTGGAGCTGAGCGGTTACTACGAGGCTGAGAACAGCACTCCTTCTTTGGAAGGCTACTTTTGCTTCAATCCGGCCTCATCTGTGGTTGGCAACCAGAGAGACCCCTTCAGGAAGGTCTTCATACCACTCGCCTATCTGCTTATGTTCGTGTTGGGAACTGTGGGCAATGCCCTGGTCCTTGTCATTTTAGAGAGGTTCAAACGCTCTCGAACAACCACAGAAAACTTCCTCTTCCACCTCACCCTGGCCAACCTGGCACTGCTGCTCACCTTCCCCTTCAGCGTGGTTGAAAGCCTGGCTGGGTGGGTATTTGGGACTTTCCTCTGCAAGATCCTCAGTGCGGTCCACAAGATCAATTTCTACTGCAGTAGCATGCTGCTGGGCTGCATCGCGGTGGACCGCTACTTGGCCATCGTGTACGCAATCCACACCTACCGCAAGCGCAGAGCTCGCTCCATCCACCTCACCTGCACGGCCATCTGGCTCTCCTCCCTGCTCCTGACCTTACCCGATCTCATCTTCATGGAAGTCTGGACAGATGAGAGCAACCGCAGCATTTGCTATTTTCCAGAGGCTGGGATTCATGGCAACAACGTGTGGCTGGCAACTCGCTTCCTGTACCACAGCGTGGGTTTCTTCATGCCCCTGCTGGTCATGTGTTACTGCTACATGGCCATCGTCCGCACTCTGTGTCATTCCCAGCGCCTGCAAAGGCAGAAAGCTGTCCGTGTAGCCATCCTGGTCACCGGTGTGTTCCTGCTCTGCTGGAGCCCATACCACATCGTCATCTTTCTGAACACCCTTACCAAGCTAGAAGCCTTCACCAAGAACTGCCTGCTGGAGGACCAGCTGGACACCGCCATCATGGTGACAGAGGCCATCGGCTTCACGCACTGCTGCCTCAACCCCATCATTTATGCCTTTATAGGAGTCAAGTTCCGTAATGACTTCTTCCGTATCCTGCACGAGCTGGGCTGCATGAGCCAGGAGACGCTACAAGAGATCCTAGAGGTGACAAGGAAGGGCTGTGGAATCGAGTCTGACAACACCACCTCTATCTCCACTTTCTAACTCAGAAAGGTTGCTGCAGGACCGAAATGGCCTGCCCAGTAGCGTATGTGCTGTGTCCCAGTCCTAAGTTTTACAAGTGTCCCCACCACTCTCTTCATTCCTTAGGAGACCAAGGCCACCTAACACCCAAATCCCACCGCATCGCTTCTGTGGTTCCTTCTGGTTACATACGTACCAAAATCTGTCTGGCAGCTGTTGGCAAATGCCGACTGTCCGATTGTCACTCTGGCAGGGATGGAGGAACCAAAGCAGGTTGAGCCTGTTGTTGCCACAACTCCATCACCAAACTGACTGCAGGAGTCCTGTGCACAGAGCCAGATGCAAGACTGAGTCACGGGGCGGGGGGGGAGGGCAGGAAAAACGCACAGCCAAGTGGAAGTGGAGCTGCATCAGTGAGTGAGGGCTGAGGAGAGGACAAAGCAGGTTCCCATCTCACCTGCTCACGTCACTGAAGACATGCCCAAAGGAAGCAGTGGGGGACAATTGCCATGGTAGCTAGAGCAAGAGATGCGGGTAAGACCATCAGGGTACCCAGAGCTCATCCCAGTGACAAAGGCCACACGGTCTGTGGATGGAATATTGCTCCTCCTGCTGCATGACATCCTGCCATCCAGTCACAGCACATTGCTTTTCCCAGCACAGCTCACCCCAGGAGGCCTTGGACTCGAGTTTGACTGCTGCAAATTCCTCTCCTGACATCAGCCACATCCTTCCCTGTTCACTTGATTTGTTCACAGCAACAGCGAGCGACTTGCTAAAGCAAATGCCTGAGTATGCAAAAGCTGTCTTTTAAAGATGACTGTCTGAACAGATGGCTCAGTCTTGTGACTGAGCACGGAGAAAATGAACCACACATCTCTGTGAGGCTGAAGGTGTAACCTTTTTTGTTTGTTTTTTTTTTCCCCTTTTTCCTTTTGCAGCTCCTTGTACATCGCTTTGTGCATTCTGCCCCACAGTACGGTAAAACATAGGAGACGACCTAATTTGTATCAGTTCTGTTTGTTTTCAGTGGGCTGAGAGGCAGTGCTGCATTTTGCTTAGAACCGTGCTTTCAGATATCCTTGCTCCACCTGCACACACAGGGCCTTTGGGCATGGGGTGCATCCAATATCCAGGTTCACATAGAAAATCCCTGCACCATGGGCATCCAGCAACATCAGCAACTGATCCAAAACAACAGTGGCAGCTTTATACCATCGTTAATGATGGCACTGCAAGCTGGCATGCAGGGCAGCCCCAACAGACTTGTGCAGCTTGCTGCTTCCTACTAAGTCTTGTCAGAGAAACATATCAGCAGGTACACAGGGTTGCTTCCTTACATTTTTCTCATTAGCCAAGCATTGCTTTGGCCTCCACTTAATGACAGTCACACACACACTGTCATACGAGAATGACCCCAACCACTGGAACACATTACAATCTGCTGTTCTGCTCACCTCACTGCTTATGCTTAGTTGGCACAATACCAGTGTTGCCACTGCAGGAGGCATTTTTGTGTCTAAATCACCATATCCTCACCATATCTTGTCACCCTGCAGACAGCAGGCATCACAGAGTGGGTCAGGTCAGACTATCCCAGCTCAGGCAGAGGTTCTGAATGAGCTGCTTACAGGTCTGTCCTGACAACTCCTGAAGTGTAAGGCATTCACAGAATGAACAATCCCCCAGGGCCCGGCCCAGCCCTGCAGAGCATCTCCTACAGCAGCATGCTGCTTCCTATTCCCCGTGATGCCCAGGGGACGTCACTGGGGAGTTTTAGCAGAGCACCCTGCCCCACACAGCGGCCGTGGGGCCGTGACAGGCAGCAGAGCGTGCACAAAGCCAGTGAATGCATGAATGAACGCGTGCCTGGGAGTGCTGCAGAGCTGGGGCTCCCCACCCGCCCTCGTGCAGCTCGCTGTGACTCACGCAGGGTTTCATTTTCCTTATCAAGAAGAGGACCTGCGTCCTCACAATGATGCCCCAGTGCTCGCAGCTGGGCCCCACACCGTCACCCACCGCTGCCCAGGAGGGGTGGCTGGGAGCAGGTGTGCTCAAACAGCGCTGGATGGGATCCGCAGCAGCAGGGAACAGAGGAAAATGAGGCTGTTTCTCACTGACAGCAGTTGAAGAAGAGCTGCTTCAAGCCACAGAGGCGAGAGCAGCCATGTCCGACACACAGCCCCACATCGTGGTGGCAGCTCTGCCCCACACCGCTCCGTGGGCTGAGACCAGGCCGTGGGGCTTTGGCAGCACAGACGTTTGTGAGCAGCCACGTTCAGAGATGAAGCACAGAAAGAAGAGAAATATTTCATTGAAAATCTCTGACCAACACTGTGAGACCGCTGCCCCAAACCACAGTGGTGCCTTAGCTTCACAACAAGGTCACATATCCCACTAGTCTGATGGCTTTGTTGCCCTTTTTACCATTTTAATAAAAACATTAAAGATTAAAATAAGCTTCGTTACTTACATACATTGACTACGTCCTGTATTCTATGAGGGCTGCTCTGAAAGTAATGCCTCCTGTTTTATGATGTCAGCCCACCACATCAGAGGTGGATGCTGGTGGTGCAGCAGTAGAGGTGGAACCTTCCCACCAAGATCCACTGCATGTTGTTGCTGTGTGACAGATGGCAGCAGAGGGGCAGTCGGACACAATGGTGTCTGACACGGAAGTGTGGATGAAGCAAAGGTGTGGAATGGAATTCCTCCACGCAGAAAAAATGGCACCCACTGACGCTTGGTGAATGTTTCTGGAGACCAAGCAGAATGCATAGCTCATAGTAGGGACTGTGTTGGAAAAATAGCATGTTGTAGCTGAAATTTGCTCTGTCAAGCAGTGTTACTGTGCTCACTGTATCAACTGCAGTTTACATGGAAATATATAGGAGGCATTACTTTCAGAGTGACTTATGGACATGCAGCCCAGGGAAGCCAAAAGGTTGGACACTACTGGTGGTACAGCAGAGGATGGGACAGAACAGCACAGCCCCGACTTAGGCAGCAAAATCCTCCTTAGGACAAGGAACCACAGCGAGCTGCGCGGTCGGGCCATCCACTCCATGCAGACTATGGGAAGCACCTCCTGCTGACTGCTGAGAGCACAATTTCCCAGCAGGGAAGCTCCAGCTGCGGTGAACAACCCTGCAGGACATCACACAGACCACGGACGAGAGGCAAGAGGTCAGGTTTTGAAATTTGTCTTTTTAATAAAAAGGCACCTATAAAACAGGTCAATACATTACAGGCAGCACAGATACCCAAAAACAAGCCTAAAAATTGTTTCAAATAAAAACCAATAAGATGTCTTCACATATTGTATTTATATATTTATATTTATATATATATTTATATAATGGTACAAAATGACTGGGGAAGTTTCTCCATGGGATGATAGAGAACAGGTCAGTCACCATTACCTCAATGTGAAAGCTAATTCCAGGTGCTTGATTATTGGACTGAAAAATGCTGTTTCCCAATGATTACTTTTTGGAGCTGAAAAAACATTGCAACGTCATGGTTAAAACATGGGCAAACCTTTTGCTGTGATTAGGTGGAGTCAGTACACAGAACTCAAGCTGAGATGCTGAGCAACAAACTACGAGACATGAGAACAGACACAGCTCACAGCAGCGGGCAACCAGCTGAAGGCAATCTGCCCCGGCCTGACAGGGTCAGTGCTGCTCTCGGGCACAGCTGGGAGCAACGTCCAGGCAGAGGTGCTCCACAGCACCTCCTCTCCCCACAGTTCACCCATCACAGCAGTCAGGGTAGGGCTGGCTTTAGGGCAGCACGATTTTGCAGAAGAGCCCTGACTGCTGCTCTGCAAGTCCGCAGCTCTGAAAGAATGCCAGGATTTCCCTTTTGTATACAGGCCTGCTGAGTTGAAAGGCTTTACTTCTTAGTTATCACTGGAGGACAGGTCTCCCTCCTGCTGTCAGGCTGCCCAGGGTCTGCAGGGAACGTACCGGCGGGCAGAGATCTCAACGGGGCCAACAGAACAGACCAACAAAAACTTTCCTTGAACAGAACAGAGTATGGCTTAAAATTAACTGAGACTAGCTGGTGGGTGATGAGCAGGGCAGGGGGCTGGCAGTGGCGTTTGGATGTCTACAAGCAAATACTGGCAGCCAACACCCCGAGGTGCAGCGAAGAGAAGCCACAGCCATTCAGGCCACTCAAGTTGAGAAAAAGCTGCATACGTTCAAGCCACATCCTCCCACGTGAAATGCTGAAATGCACACCCTGAAAGGATGGAGAACTCAAACAGCTACAACATCAGGTCCAAAGCACGCTGACTTAGCCCTGGGTTAAGTTAGCCCTATTCCTCTCTGCTCTAAATGCCAAGGCAGGGGTGAGCACTTTGTTCCTTTAAAATGATGCTCAGTCAGATTGCAAACAGCACAAAGCATGAGAGCAGAGTGAAGTCCTTTCTGAAATCCAGAGCTGCACTTCCACCCTCGTACTGCTTTCTACAAAATATCCCATTGGCTCAAGGTATTCCTCATTAGATTAGATTATGTGGCTACATCTCGTTACAGATCTGATCAACACAGCCACAGGTTGACATTTCAGCATCGAACAGCTTTTTCTAGCAGCTTGCAAGATGACACGAAGTTCTGCCATTCCCTCCCTACTTGACAATCTCCCTTTTCTTCTGTGGTATCTAACAGGGAAAAGTGAGCGCTGCTACAAGAGAGGTAGTAAGCAAAGTCTGGCTTTGCAGAGATAATCCTCCAACTGGTGTTCATGTGGCAATCAAATGCCCTGAGTTCACAGTGGGATACCCATGGGGTACACCATGCTGGAATGGGGTCCTGCAGAGATCCAGAGACCCCATGAGTGCAGAAGGGCACAAGCTTAATCCTACAGCCCCTTCAGAGAACAAACACAGGAAAGAACACCAGTGCTGCGTGCAGGAAGACCTTACAAAATGGAGGATGGGAAGGGTGAAGCACATCCAGAAAAGCCTGAGTTGTTCAAACAGCTTCCACCAGAGCCTGGGAATAAGAACCTCAGCCTCTTCTATCAGAAACTTAGGGCAGCCTGTGGACGGCTCGTGGCACGCAGCTGGCATCGCACAACACAGCTCTGATTCAGAAGTGCAGCATTGCACACAGGGACAGCACCCTGCAGGCACTCAAGGCCAGGTGGGATGGCGCCCTGGGCAGGCTGAGCTGCTGGGGGGCAGCCCTGCCCACGGCTTTGAGTTCCCCTCCAACCTGAGCCGTTCTATGATCTTCAACAGCAGTGCCTCCCAGTGCAGCAGGACAGGGCTGCTGCAGAGAGCTCAGGGCAAGGAGGAGCAGGAGACCCCTGTGAAAGCCTGGAGGAGGGCAGTGTGAGGAAGGAAGACCTGGGAGACCAACTGACAGCAGAGGGAGAGGGGATGTGGCATGGTCATGGAGGGTGATGGGTGGTAAAGGACTGGTGTAAAAAGGCTGCAAAAGAGCAGGGTTCCAGCTAGCCCCTCCTGGAAGCACAAGAATGAAAGTTCCAGCTCAGCTCAGAGTCTCTCCATCCCTACACACCGCCCTGCACTGAAGGGAAAGGGAAGGCCCAGAGACAACACAGCTGATGGAGACCTTCAGGCCCAGCATGTGATTACCAACAGAGCCTGGATCATTGCTGCCTGTGTCAGCTGGCTGGCATCCTCCCTTTCATGGCCAAAGCAGCAGTGACAGCTGCATCCTAAGGAGCTGCAGCCAAGTGAGCACTGTTCCAGTGGCCGGGGCCACAGCTCTGACCTGCCCAACGGTCCTCAGCCACCGGCTGTGTTCTCGTGCCCAGCTCAGCCTCCACAGGGGCCTGAGATCTGCATGGAGCCGAACACACTGCACGAGCAAATCACTGCAACACCAAGAGTCGCTCTACGATGGGATCTCCCAACGCCCTGCACACCCTGGAGGATCCTCCTGGCCCACCAAGGAAAGCTTTCAATCCTTGTACACTGTTGCCTTTAGCATTTTTTTTCTTTTTTTTTTTTTTTTTCTTAAACATGTTTTGAGGCTTCTATTAAAACACAGAAATACAGAACAATTAAAAACCAGCACAAGTTTTGCCTTTCTCAGCGACCTATTTACAGCTAGTTCCCAAAACCCTCTTACACAGTTTGGTTGCTTAAAAGGAAAAAAAGGGAGAGAGAAGGAAACAAAATGACAAAACAAACAAACAAAGAACTAAACAAAAACAAGGAAAGAAAAACATTTGAAGGAGGAAAATAATAAACTGCCACAGGGTCTGGAAGTCCCCGGCCACCACACAGGGTTCAAAATTAACAGCCCCACTCCCAGTCCCTCCACCCTCTCCTTCCCCCCAAAAAAGAAAGGAAAAAAGAAAAAAACAAAAACAAAAACAAAACCAAACCCAATTCACATCAAGTTTACTGCACATCTGGTTTTCTGTATAGAGGCAAATCCGATATGAAAAGCATCCCACTTGGTGTCCTCCTCTGGCGTCGGCCCCCAACCCGCCCCCAACGAAAGGTTTAAAAACATCTGTACAATCAGGCCCATGCTTTAGAAAGGCAGGTTAGCCATGTTCCCCGGCCCGGGGATGTAACTCATTTGGCTGTCCAGGGAGACGCTCCTCTGCCTCATCTGGTGCGTGACCATTAGGTTCTGCTGCGGTGGGGGTCCCATGAGAGAGCCCTGAGGTGACATGATGTGTCCTGTCTGGGCATACATCTCCCCCGACACAGACATGCTTCTCTGCTTGGCCTGCATCAGCATGAAATTCTGCTGGGCCATCAGGCTCTGCTGCGGAGACATCATGCCCTGATGCATGCTGTTGCCCATCATGCCTTGCTGGGGCGGTATGCCTGTCCTGCCCAGCATGGGCACTTGTCCAGGATGGCACATGGGCATGCCAAGTCCCCTCTGCACGCCCTGCTGCCCCGGAAGGCTGGGGGCATTCATACCTGGCCTCACGGGGGGCTGATCGGCCATCATGTTCTGCAGGTTCATGAGGTGGAGGTTGGAAGGCTGCGATTTGGGTGCTTGGCTGTCACTCTTGGGGAAATACTGCAAGGTGCTGCTTGGCTTTTCTGATGGGATGATCCTGGAGAGGTCAAACTCGGGGATGCCTGTGGGCGTGGGCCGGATGACCTCACTGAGCTCAGGATCGTTCAGTACCGATGCCACCCCGGGGAGCACGGCTGGGTAGGGCTCGCCGATCCGAGGAGGGATGTTCTTGCCCATCATGTGCTGCTGAGGAGGCATCTGGCCGGGCTGCTGGGTAGGAAGGTCCTCGGGTGGCAGTGACATTCCCGGTGGGAAATGCTGCTGCATGCCAGGGCCACCTGCCCCACCAGGGGCCATGGGCATGCTTCCTGCAGGAGACTGCATGGCGTTGTGGGGTTGCTGCATGCGGGGGAACACGAGCTGGTTGGAAGGAATCATCTGTGAACTGTTGGGCACGGGGCCGCACTGCTGGTTCAGCGAGTCCTGGGGCCCTGGGGGCAGCATCATGGGGTTCTGGGGGGGCACCCCCGGCCCCGGCGCACTCGGGTGCATAGGAATGTTGGAGCCTAGCGGGTTTGGGGAGGACATCATAGAAGTAGGGGGTGGTTCGTGGGAAAGAGGCTGCTGACCAGGCAGGTTGATTCCCATGGGGCTCTGGGAGGATCCAGGTCCCACGGAGTTTAAGTGCAGCTGATTCGTTTGATTCCCTGTCACACCTAAGGAGAGGAAAGGAGAAGGGTTAATTCTGCCCACAGACCTCCACCCTGTGGAGCCCGCTGGGACCCACTGCTCAGAAAGCCCTGAGCTCCAAGGAAGGGGACGCAAGAAGGACTTGCAAAGCATCAACATCCAACAGAAGAGCTCCGAAATTCAGCTCCCCAAGCCCACAAACAGCACAGAACGATTCCAGTTTTGCTCACTGCAACTCCGCACAGAGGAGTGACCCTTTAGCACAGCTCCTCCTGTGATCACACACTGCTGAGTGGCAAGGAGGAACAAGACAGAAGTGCCAGCATCCCAACACAAATGCTATCCAGGAGGGACAAACAGGCTCATCAGTACAGCAGAGCAAACTGTTCACAAAAAGGCTCTGTTTGGAAGGCAGTACGTGCATTTGCATGTTCGTGGCCAAACCAAATGACTCCTTAGCAATCAAAGAGTCAACAAGTTGATTTTTCACTTTGAAAACCACCGAAAACATTTATCAAATAGCTGCAAACCCCAGCATCAAGTGGTACAGCCTGCTGGAATTCCCCTTCCCCTTCATACCGAGCACAGAAGGCAATCATTTGCCTTGCTGTCTTCATCAGTGCCACCAGCTAGCAAAGCGTATCTGGCTGTCGCTTACTGAAATCACAACTCTGCTGAGATACAGCCCTGCTTGTGCAGGCACGTGGGCTCCACTGAAAGCCACCAGGCTCCCAAGCCCTGCTCTGAGCATCCCTCTCCCACTGCAGGTTCCAAGCAGCGGCCTTCTGCCTCATCCTGGGCCTGAGATCTCTCTATCTGCAGTGAAAACCCAGGGTCAACACGTCCACACTGGGTCAAAGATGTTTTGAAAGCTTCCAGAGCTCGTGGGAGAAGCATGCCAGACTGGGTGATGTCCATCCAGACAGCACAGACAAGCCAAAAGCTGATGGACACAGTGTGGAGAGGTGAGCCAACAAACAAGGGCAAATTTCAGCTGTTTGAGAAGGAAGCTGATGAGGGAACACACCAACACAGCAGCCCAGCCCTACAGGCACATACCTGCCATACTTCCAGGTGGAAGCATAGGCCTGTCTGGCAGCAGCTCGTCGTCAGAGGTGGCAATGGTTTTGATGGCATTGTGGTAGAGTGGTGTGGAGCTGGGCATGGCGTACTTGGACATCTGAGACATCATCAGAGAAAGGGGGTTCTGGGAGGGGGATGGATCTGGAGAGGAAGTAAAAGGCATGTTGGGGTTCATGGTGCTAGAGGCTGGTTGGTTGCTGGCTGGTGCAGAAGAACTACTCCTGGGCCCAGAAGGGAGAGAACCTGCAAGCAAGAGAGAGCACAGCTTAGCACTGCACATACTTAGCAGCTCTTCCTGTCAGACAGCAGCCCTGTTCCCTCCTTACAGTAGCTGCCAAACAGCTGGCAAGTCCTCAGGACTCTGAGGAGGCTCACACTCCAGCACTGTGATGGACTTCCACTTCAAACTGCCCATGACTTTCCAACTCAAGACACATCTTTTTCTACCTGTATCACAGAGCACGAGCTAAACTATAGGCTGCACCATTTGCCTTTCAGATTATTCAAAAAAGCCCTTATTGGGACCCCTAGGGAAAAAAAAAGTACTCCTCAAAAATTAGGCACGAGTGTCTCCCCACTCCTGGGAGACCATGCAGACATGGGGGAAAAATGGCCTAGCAAAGGGGTGGCAGAATGCAAACACAGACCACAACAAATATAATTCTTGCATCGTTCCAGTACATCACTTCCATGGCATCCACCCCAAGTCCTGCAGGTAGCACTTATCCAGGCTTGTGCCTGACATCTCTGCTGACTGTCAGGGAAGAAACTGCTCTGCTGTGCCAGAAGGCAGGGGCTGCAAACGCGCTCTGGGCTGCCTGCAACAAGCAGCCATGTGAGCAGAGCAGGAAGGAGAGCAAGACCTGCTTCACAGGGTACAGAAAGAATGAGACTACAGCCAGTCCAGGCAGGTTGGATTTGGGAGATGTGTGACCAGTGCTGATCCTACGGAGCCCTGGTCACAGGGTGCTTGTTGCAGGGTTCTGGATGCTCACACACTCACCAAAACACACACGCAGGCACACTAGCACACAAGATACTGACATACCCTGATCCAGTCCTGCCATGGACGTGGAGGAGTTCATGCTGAGTGTCTGCTTGCTCTGGTTGACTCCTGGGCTGGGCATTGTGGGTTTGGGAGATGGCACCCAACCCGGGGAAGGAACAGCCATAGAAGGGGACTTGAGGCGGCTTGGTGAGCCAGTTGGAGAGCGGACGTTAAGTGAGGAGCTCATCACCTGGGGAGACTTAAGGGGCCCAGACTGGTTAGAAGGCGGCATGCTGACCATCTGCGATGGCGTCTGCGGGGACTTGAGGTTGGCAGAGGGCGAAGTGACCAGTGGGGAGTGCACCTGGCTGAGGGTGGGGGACTTGAGGTGACCCATGCTGGGGGAGTTCATCTGGCTGATGTTGATGGTGAGGTCGGAGGGTCGGCGGCCCAAGCCACGGGAAGGTGCTGGGTGCATATTGGCCAGGTTTCCCCCTTGTGCAGGAGCGGGATTGGAGGCTGGGGGCAGGGGGATGTGGCTGAGTCTGGTGGTACCACTGATGCTTCCAACAGGCATGGCGCCCTGCTCAGGGCTGAACATGTCTGAGGCATTGCCCATCTCCTGAGGCATGTTGGGGTAAGGTCCTTGCCCGCTTGAGAAACCTTGTTGTCCTTGGCTGGGGAACTGGGAGGGAATCATCATTTTCTGCGGTCCCCCCAGCACTGCACTGCCATTGCCATTCTGAGCCCTTGCCCTGGCCAGCTCCTCAGGGCTCATACCCTGATGGGCTATCATGTCAGGGCCCCTCATCTTCTGCGACATCATCATCTGCTGCTGGGGGGTCATCTGCACATTGAGGTTCATGTTCATGTTCATATTGACATTCATGTTCATGTTGAGGTTGCCAGGGCCCATGGGTGCGTCCATGTCCCGAAGGCCTGACTGGCTCATAGGGGGACTCAGTATCCCACGAGTTCCTGCAAAATCCATTCCCATTGGGTTGCTGCTGAGGTTGTCCCCTGCTATCTGCCCAGCAAACATGGATGGATCCATCTGTCTGTGAGCCTGTATCATCCTCTCCATTTCCATACCCTGGCTCATGGAGTTGCTGGACATCCCCATGGGCCTCTGCATTGCCACTGGGCGTTTCTCCATCAGCTGGTGCCGCAGAATCTCCTCCCTGGCACGTGGATTCATGAACCTTTCAGGGTCCCCCTGCCCCGATGGGTAAGGCAGGGAGCCCTGTGGGAAGTTCCCGGGACCTCCCATCGGAGGCAGATCATCACTCCACCCCATGCCAGGCCTGACCGGCCTCTGCATGGCATTCATGGGACCAAGAGCATCCAAGGGCATGTTCTGCATCCCTCCAAAGCCAGAGACCCTCTGTATTTGATTTCCAGGGAATCGTGGCCCTGGGAAGGGTGGCCCTCCTCTTAGCTGCATAGGGTCCTGCAGGTCCATGGGTCCCCGCAGCTGGCTGCCCATGCCTGGCGGCCACTGCTCCCCAGGCTTACTGTGGTAGGGTGGGGGGGGGCCACGCATCATCATGCTGCCCATAGATTGTGGAATCATGATTTCCTGCATGGGTCGGCCATGGATGCTGATCTGCTCCTCTTTCCGGCGCTTCTCCTCATAATACTCTTCCTGCAACTTCCTCCAGGCCACTTGCTCTGGCGTCAGGCTGTCCTGGTTCAGCCGCTGCATCATCATGTTCATCTGCTGCCCCATGTCAGTGCCAGGGTGGTGGGGCACCTCGTGTTCCAGGCTGGGGCCACCGAGGCTCTGGGTCTGGGAAATCATGGACTGCAGAGGCTCTTCGTACTTCTTCATGCCGGCAGGGGGTGCGGGGGGCTGGGCAGGGGCAGCCTGTGGCTGAGGGGCAGTCCCACCCTCACCAGTGCTTTGGCTGGACTTCATGAACGGCTCAGCCTCCCCGCTGCGCAGCAGCAGACGCTCAATGTCCCGCAGGGTCTGCAGAGAGCGCTCTCGGTGCTCCAGCTGCTCCTTCGAGAGCCCTTCCGAGTTCATAGAGTTCCTGGAGCCCAGACCTGCCTGCCCATTCCCCTGCATCCCTGAGCCAGGGCCCTCCCCAAGGAGGTTGGAGCTGGACGTGGCAGAGTCCACTTGCCCAGGCTGCATGGTGGTGGTAGATGCAGTGGGTGTATTGGGGTGGTTACTTCCAGGCTGGTTGCTGCCGCTGTTGTTTCCTAGAGAGTTGGGAGTCAGTTCTCTTCGGACATCTTCACTTGTGCCCTCCTGGGGCAGGCTGTTGGGTGCAGGTAGGGCTGTCTGACTGATGGCCTGAGGTGGAGGAGGCGGCTGCGGTGCAGGAGGCTGCGGCTGTGGCTGACTTGCTTGAGGTGCTGGTGGCTGAGACTGGGGAGTGTTGGCAGAAGGAGGGTTAATCGGAACCTGCTCAGCAACTCCCAGCACTTTAGGAGCTGGCGCCTGATAGAGAAAAGGGAAGACAAGGTGAGAATGAAAATGCTCTGGCTATTCTTCCCATACTCTATAGGGAAACAATCTGAAACACGCCACATGGCAGCTCTGCCTTCATTCCTCATGGGGAAGAAGCAGGCCCCATCACATGGCCTGGAAATACACAGTCATGTATTCTGCCCACGTATCTGCGGGGCCACATATTGTGCTCCAGCCCAAAATCTTCACACTTTACAGTAACCAAGACTCATTCTGAAGTGGCTTCAAAGAAAAGCACTTCCCACACTGCTGAAAGGGAATTCTGATTCCCTGTTCCTCCACAGCTAAGCCAGGAGCTGGGAGAAATAGCCATGTCAGAACGGAATGGTCAGCAGCGCTTGCCAACAGGAGCATTTGGTCCATGGCCAGTATACCTGGTCTAGCTTTGCCCGTGGGACGTTTTGCTGATGATAGGCCAGAATGGAGTCAGCTCGGCCCTGCAAGACAGCTTCCGCAGCTCTGGGGAGAGAGAATCAACCACTCAAGATCAGACATTGTGCCCCATCCCGGGCCCCAGGCACCACCTCCTCTCTTCAGTCCTATGGGAACAGGGAATTCTTAGGAGGTCAATAGGAATGGGGGGGATATTCTCAGAGTCCTCCCACCTGTCCTGCACAGGCCACAGTGAGGTTTTCCAACTGAAGATCACCTGCCTTGGAATTTCCCTCTTCCCATGTCCTGTGCTGGGCCTTCTGCTCTGCTTTGTGCCTGCTGCTCCATGCTGCCCTACAGGTGGCTGTTTCCAAGATGTTCTAACACACAACATATGATCTAGCAAAAAGCCCTAAAACTCAGTCTTGCTAGACACGATGGCTGAGACAATGCAGAACAGAAGTGAGGAACTGAGTGCAGAACACCAAGCGTTACTTGGCATTCCCTGCGACAACCCAACCCCACGGATGCCCCCGGATCAGCAATCCACACTGCTCTGGGTGAATGGACAAGGTCTGCTGCTTACGTGTTAGCAAGGTGCGTTGTAAAGACGTAGACGAACTGAGAAGGCTGCTTTCCTGTTCCACCACCTCCACCTCCCGCACCATCCGACCGTAAGCCTGGGGCAGTACCATGAGGTGTGCTGGAAGAACTGGTCTCATTCAGGTTTGGCAGCGGGTTGGACCCTGGGCCAAGCTGCGAGGCCGTGGACATTGCAGGATCTGCTACATTACAATCTGTGGGAGCACAGGACAGGAGTTACTGAAGCTAGCGCTGCAAGAGAAGCAGAGCAGCTGCTGAGCGGCACTGCTGTCTGGACCAGAATGAACAGAGATGGAGGGAAGCAGGAGGGCTCCCGACTCCACCAGATGGCAGCACCCGACCAGCAGTCCCTGCAATCTTGGTGGCCAATGTCCCCAGGCACCCGAGCGGCCCAACTCCTCCTTTGGTCTCTCCTTCATCCCAGGGTGGCCCCAGGCTCATCTCATCTCCCTTCCCGTGGTGCTAACAACAGGGACCCGGGTAGCAGGGGAAAGAGGAGATGCTTTTCACCGGTGATAATTATTAATCATCATTAATTATTGAGTAATATTCCTAATTAATATTAATAAGCATTGTAATTAACAGCAGCATTCATTGCTTTCCTCTTGCTCAGCTCCATACACATACTGTAGCCATTGAGCCAGGCCCACTCTTCTCCTACCAACAGCAAACACTCAGACTAGCAGTCAGCCCGGGGCAAAGCAGTGGCACTGAGGGACGTGGGCAGTGGGCAGCACTGGTGGGCAGTTGGACTGGATTGGTTGGACTTCAGTGATCCTATGATTCTGACCAGCTGGCAGGAAAGTCTCGCAGTCCTGCCTTCCATCCTGGCCCTGGTGAACCACACAGAGATAAACATCTCAGGGAAGACGGCTGCTGTGCGCTGGCAGGCATTAAGGCCACACGTCACACAGCTTTATGGGCATGTTTGCTGACTCACAGTGATACCGAACTGCCACACAAGGGAGAATACTTCTTCCAAAGAGAAAGAAACAGCCGTATTTTTTCTAACATCTCGCACTCTGGTGGACGGGAAGAGATGGAAATTAAAGCAACCAGATCTGAAAGTTCACAAAATCTTTACACCTACATAACCTCAAAACATCAGCCTGAACTTTAGGAATAGCTAGCTGAGCCACACTAATGGTCATGGCTGGAAAAAGAACTGCCTGCTCACACTGGTCTGCTCAGCTCTGCCTGAACCACTGTCAAGACACCAGGAGCACCTTTAGCCTCATATGCACAGTTGAAGGTATCTGGGCAGCATGGACATCCAACCTCAACACCTTCCCCCTCCAGCATCTCAGTGCATCTCCACAGTTGTTCTGTGCTCCCACACCTCACTGTGTGGCTGCAGATACTCTCAGAGCACAATGATCAGCCACACTCCCAGCAGAGATCTGGCTTTATTCAAGATTCCGGACAGGTAAGGAGGTAGGCACTCACTGTGTGCACTGCTGATGGGTTTGTCGTCTTCCTCGCTGTCTGGCCCAGAGCACCATTCGTCCCCACTGTACGGCTGCTTCCTTTCCAGCACGCACCGCCGCTTGCTGCGGGGAGCCACCTCTCCTGCAAAGGACACAAGAGTCAGAAGAGCTGAGGAGAGCTGCCAAGGGGCTGAGAAGGCTGGGGCTCTGCCTGGCTGCAGTGAAGGAGGTTGGGGAAGCACGGCATGCAAGGCCAGGCTCTTTAGCTTGGAGCTCACCAAAGCCCAGGCTCAGCAATCATACCCTGCAGGTATCTGGGCTGGCGCTGAGACATCATCCCCTGAGTGGTGGTCAATGGGCAGCTTGGGGGTGGCGAGCCAAGACCCCAGGTGGCAGTGGGACCCACGCAGGGCTTGGCCATGCTGTCAGACATGGCCTCCTGTACTCTGAGCACTGTGCCAGGCTGCAACACAATCCCTTCCAGCAAGGCCTTGTGAGAGGCCCGGGCTAAAAGCCCTTCAGCAGCAGCCCTGCTTGGCCTGAGGCACTGCTCACAGAACATCTCTGCAGCCCACGCTGGGCCCAAGCGTGTTACCCTTTGGCTGAGGATGCTGGCACCTTGCTGAACCCAAGGATTACCTTGTAGGCACAGCCCAGATGCTCGCTCATTGAGAGAGGCACAGCACCGGCTAAAGGGAAAGCACAGTCAGTGCTAGATGTCTGCCATTCAGAAAAACAGTCTGGCACAGGAGACAGACAGGGAGCTTGTTAGAGGCCTGCTAGGTTCCTCCTCCTTCCCTCGCCAACTCCCACAAGACACATCCTGCGAGGAGACCTCCCAGGTGCTCGTCTTGCCTGGTACCAGCAGAGCACTAAATCCTGCAGCTCCCCACCAAGCTGGCAGTCAGCGCTCGAGATCACTGCCTCATCCCTGTCCTCCTCCCTTTCTCCACGTGTGCACTGGCTCTGCTCCTCCACAGGACTGCATCCCCACATGCACAGCCATCCATCCTCCCAGACACAGGACTGCACGGCTCTCCTGATGAAGTACTGAGCAAGGCTCTTTTTTGTGTGTTTTTTGTTGTTTTTCTGCCTGGACAAGGGCTTCAAAGAACAATCAGTGGTGAGAAAGTTCATTAAAAGACAAGTAAAACCTGAAGATGTTTACAACCTTGGTAGGAACAAGAGACACAGACTCTGCTTTTCAAAGCCATTCATTGGGCAGAGTCTTTATACTCTCTCTAAACTCAGATGCTCCCTTGATTTCATAGCTCAGGTTGGGGCAGCTTGGAAAGGAAACAGCTTGCCTGAAGGCACCCAGGAACCATAGAGTCATAGAATAGCTTGGGTTGGAAGGATCATGAAGCTCCAACTCCCTGCTGCATGCAGGACCACCAACCTCCACATTCAGTACCAGCCCAGGCTGCCCAGGGCTCCAACCAACCTGGCCTTGAACACCTCCAGGGATGGACGGGGCATCCACAGCCTCTCTGGGCAGCTGTTCCAGCACCTCACCGCTCTCATAGTAGAGAACTTCCCCCTGATATCCAACCTCAATCTTCCCTCCTTCAACTTAAAACCATTTCCCCTTGTCCCAGGGTTAGGGTTAGGAACAGGGACCAGATGACCTTCAAAGATCCCTTCCAGCTCCAAGGATTCTATGATCAGTAACTTCAGCTCTGTGTTAACTCCAACGTAACATATCTGATCACTCTTTTGTACATAATCTAGAGGTTTATGGGCCATATTAATGCAAAGTGTTAGCGAACTGCAGAAGGATTCCGGCATTCCTGCTCGTGTTATTTCAGTAGATTTCCTGTGTCACATGGAGCCACTGGGCACCATGCTCTGTGAGATGCAGGATAGCACAGGGAAGGCTGGCTGGGACAGGGGAGTCAAAGGATTTGGAAGTACTGGCTCAGCCCTTTTTTAGAAGCCAAGTGTTTCTACACAAGAGTTTCATCCACATCTAATGAAACCACAGAGCCGCTCAGACAGCGACCCTTGCAGCAGCACCTCATTAACCAGGTGAGGAGCTGGGCAGCTGCAGGAACACCACAATGGCAGCTCTTTGCCAGCAGGGAGAAGACACAAAACAGCTAACTCTGTCCTGAGCTGAAAGTCTGTACATTGCAAAGCAGAGCTGCTCAGAACAGCGTAGGTGAAGCAGGCTCTTGTTTAGCAGGCCTCAGAAGCCTATTCAACCCACAGTTTCAGACTCTCGATGTAACCAGCAGTTTAAGAAATGACAGTGCTCAGCCACTCTGGTCCCAGAACTGCAGATGAGACACGTGGTGATGCACAGGCTGCTGGGGTAGCTCCAAAGAGAAGGGCAGCATAGAAACCCAAGCTGCCTACAGCTGCTCCCATCCCCACTCCTGCCCAAATGCTTGGAGCAACTGAGAGAAGGACTTCTGAAGCACAGTTTAGGAGCACATTACCTTTCGATTCTGTGTCCAGCGACGGGGTGCCAGCTTCTCTCTGCTCTCCAGAGTCCACTGAGATGCTCCGTTCCCGTTTCACCTTGCCTTTCAAGGAGCTGAAGTTTGGGACAGTGTTCTGGCTGTTTTTCAGTCCAGAGTTGCCAGGGGAGATCTGGGTGGCCTTGCCGCCATGGCTGCCTGCACCCACACCCTTTGAGCCCAGGTTGCAGGTGGGTGCTTGGCTCACGTTGTGGTGCTGGGCCGGGGCACCGCTGCTGCCTGCCTTGCCATGGCTGGGCAGTTTGTTGTCAGGGTGCATTGGATTGGCTGAAGCGTCCCACAGCACCAGTGGAGGGAGCTCCCAGGCCCTTCTGTCACAAAACTGCAAGAGAAGAGGGCAGAGGGTGAGCAGCGTGCCCCACACAGCAAGGCAGAACCCAGAGCTGCTCATACGACATCGCTCAACCTGCAGCTCAGCACCAGCCCTGGGCGCTGCTGTGTGCATCCCTCACAGCTACCTTCAGTTCCTGCATGGGACAGGCGCTGTGGGACCACAGCCAACCTCATCTCAGGAGCACCAGAATGGGCTGCTTAGGGCGCCCATCTCCAACTTTAGGGATGCACCTCTTGAACAAAGACCTGTAGCATTTTCCTTGCTAAAGAGTCTGACGGTGCTCCTGCAGAACAAAGAGCATCCCAGTGAGAACCACTCCTCAGCTCTCCTGCATCAGGGCCTCACACTGCCCTGCCACAGCCGTGTCATTACTCTTCTTCCTGCCACAGGAGTCTGGGGAAGGAAAGCAAACCACGTGTTTGGGGAAGCTGAGGTATCCCTGTCTGCTTGCATACTTCTATGTTGTTTGCATGACACCCTCTCCACACAGGCAAGAACCTTTCCCTTGTATAGGCAGACGCATTTCCCAGCACGCAGGGGTTACTGGGACCACGCTCCTCCCATCTGGACTGAGCAGCCCAGATGCTGAGCACAGATTTTTTCTGCCACCCTGGGACAAGCAGCACTAAACTCTGCAGCTCTAAATAGAACACAGTGCCCAGCAGCACCGTGCACACCACCTCCAACTTGCTGGTGATGGCTGCGAGGCACAGGCTGCATCTTGCAACTGACTGCCAGGGAGCTCCCTGCCTGTAAAATGGACTTCTCCACACCTGCTCCCTGCAGCAGGGCTGGCTGGTGTGCAGCAGTGTGCAGCAGTGCCTGGCAGAGCAGCCTGTGGCAGGAGCCCTACTGCACAGCCCTACAGCACACAGCCCTACTGCATAACCCTACAGCACACAGCCCTACTGCACAGCCCTACAGCACACAGCCCTACTGCATAACCCTACAGCACACAGCCCTACTGCACAGCCCTACAGCACACAGCCCTACTGCATAGCCCTACAGCACACAGCCATACTGCACACAGCCATACTGCACAGCCCTACAGCACACAGCCCTACAGCACACAGCCCTACTGCACAGCCCTACAGCACACAGCCCTGCAGCACACAGCCCTACAGCACACAGCCCTACTGCACAGCCCTACAGCATATCCCTACAGCACAGCCCTACAGCACAGCCCTACAGCACACAGCCCTATTGCACAGCCCTACTGCACACAGCCATACTGCATATCCCTACAGCACATCCCTACAGCACAGCCCTACAGCACACAGTTCTATTGCACAGCCCCACAGCACACAGCCATACTGCACATCCCTACAGCACAGCCCTACAGCACACAGCCCTACTGCACATCCCTACAGCACACGGCCATACTGCACAGCCCTACAGCACACAGCCATACTGCACAGCCCGCCCAGGCATTCCTGCCTAGTTAGCAGGATCATTTGCGCACAGCTTGCCCTATCACTGCTCCCTAACTAGCGACTCGTTAGCTGCTCCCTCCTCCTTCCCGCACACCTCTCTGAGGGCTCCGCTTTAGCCCGGAGGAAGATGGTGAGCCACAGTGCTGATTAATTTTCACAGCACATAAGGGAGTTGCTAGCCCTTTAAGCATCAGCCAGCCTTGCTCGCGCGCTCTCGTTCTCTGGGGACCTATTAATAGCAGCTGGAAAGATCACATCACTCTCTGGATATTTATACCCCTCATTCCACACCAGGAGAGATTTATGTCAGAGCCGCGGTCCCAGTGCCTGCCCAATTGCTCTGTCAAAGCGTTTGCAGGGGGAGGGGAGCGGAGTGGGAAGGGAAACACAGAGAGGGCAAGCAGGGAGGAGGAGAAGGTCCATATGGCACAGACTGCGGCATTAAGCACACACGCTGCCTGCAATCACAGGCTGGCCAGCCTCGGGGAGCCTTCACCCCGCTGAAGAGGCTGCTGCCAGACAGCATTCCATAGAGCGAGCCCCGCAGCAGCCCGTGCTACCGATGGCCCCCAGCCGTGCCTGCTGCTCCACCAGCTCCGCACCACGCAATTTGTGCAGCACATTGCTGGGCTGTCCTGAGGGTCACAATCTGATGCACGCCCAGATGCCACCAGATTAGCAGACAGGAGCTACCGCCACTGCTGCTATCTGCGAGGAGACGCGAGGCTGCCTGCGGCACATCTGCATGAACACAGTATTTCATTCACAACAGATCCCAAAGTGCTTCACCAAACATGCTCAGCAGCACTGCAGCACAACAGGAGCTATAGCACAGCACAGATGTGAGCATGCTGAGGAAAGAAAGAGAAAGCCACGTAAGGCCATGCCCACGGACTGATGGTCAAGATGCACCCACTGTCCCTCCGGTTCTCAGGTCAAACTCACATTCATCAACGAGTCAGAAGCAGGAAGGTCCCCTCCAAAAGGCCCAGTAGTAACCACAGCCCTTTCAGCAGCCAATGAGCCACAAAACGGCTCAGGTCGGAGGGCAGCTCAAAGCCCACCCAGTGCCACCCCCGGCCGTGGGCAGGGCTGCCCCCCACCAGCTCAGGCTGCCCAGGGCCCCATCCCACCTGGCCCTGAGTGCCTGCAGGGATGGGGCACCCACAGCTCTCTGGGCAACCTGTGCCAGCGCCTCACCGCCCTGACCAAAGGATTGCATCCTCACAGCTCACCCACATCTGCCCTCTTTTAGCTTAAAGCCATTCCTCCTTGTCCTATGACCATTCCCCCTTGTCCTATCATATAAAAGCAGATTCTTTCCCACAGGCATGCCTACCACGCTACACCCCCATCATACAACCTCTCACTGCAGCTAATCATGGAAGTTCACCATGGAAGGTGCTTCACTCACAGATACCACACAGCCACCCACCTCGTGCAGCCTGGATAACCTCACCCCATTCAGGAAGACAGACATCCCTCAAAATGCCACGAGGGAGGACGGCCGTCAGCCCTACAGGACCCAGCAGCCACCCAATGAAACCTTCAGGTGCAGAGCAGCCTCGCTCACCGTGGGATCCCCTACAGAACACTGTGCTCTAAGGGCATCTAATTAGCACTCCTCCTCGTTTCATTTTGGGTGCTCCAGGGAGGACATCCCATACCTTGCCTCAGCTGATGATAGCACAGAAAGCCACGCAGAACTGACTGTGACCCAGGGAAATTCTCCCATTCCATCCTATTCGGTTCTTAACCGAGCCCAGCCACACCACGCTCGCAAATCCTAACAGGAGAAAGGCCAGAAGCAACTGCCTGCAGATTCTACTGTGCTCTCAGAAGCAGCAACAGTTGGATCTTGCTGAAGAGGCATGGCGGGACTCCACCCCAGCCTCCCATCTGTCTGGCTGCAGCACGCTGATAGACATCTTGATTGCTGTGAGCTCCTTGCACACACCCCTTCCAACCAGATTCCAGCAGGCATGCCACGCATCTGGGCCACAGCAGAGAATTAATTAGAAAGAAGATACACTGACACAGGCAGACAAATGATCCAAAACGTCTTGAAAAGAACACGAGAAAAAGGAGATTGCATAGAAATGTGGCTCCCTCTGCAATTTAGCAACACACACGCTCCAGCCCAGCAGTTTTAAAGACAATAGAAAATCTAATTCCCAGTGGCTACAGCGAGGAGCCAAGACTCCTGGGTCCTAGCCTTGCTGCCACCAGATCCATGAGTGATTCTGAGCATGATGGGTTTTGTCTGGTTGCCTTGATTTCCCCATCAGAAAACAGGCAGCCAACCTACCTGATGAGGGGAAGGAGCACACAAAGCTCAATCGATAGCTCTGCTGAAAGATGTGCTGTATCTAAATGCAGAGGGAGAATATTTGTGTCTTGTACGTCTGAAAAGCTTTAAATCAAAGACTTGGGCAGAAGATAAACCTTGCACGGAAACAACAAAACTGCTTTCAGCAAAGCTCCGCTACACTCTGAACAACAGCAGGGGAGGAGGAAACTGAGCAAGGAGAGACTGAGCTGACAAACTCCCCGTCCCGGAATTGATAGCTGATAGTTCAGGAAACCTGAAACCCCAATGCCTTCCCGGAGGACTTTCTGGTGAATCATGCTCCCACTCTCTCTGAACAGCAACACAGATTCCCAACACCACCGCAAGTATGCAGAGTGTGCACCGCGTGGTGCAGGGCAGGAAAGCTCCTAGCAGCACTCTGCCAGCCCAGCAATGAAACCTGGATAACTGCAGGGTTGCACACGGTGGATATCAGACTCCTGAGCTGCACCGACATGCCCCACCAACAGCAAAGACGAGAGGCGTGATGAAGTGATGCAACAAGCAGAGAGCAACCAGGCCCTGCTCTGCCAGCCAGCTCAGGGAGTAACAAAGGCAGGCCGCTGCTGCACAGTGCTGAGCACATCACCTATGTTGGCAGCACAGCTGCTCAGCCTTTTAGCACTGATGCTGAGACAGCCCTGATCCAAAATGTCCCATGGATATCACCACAATCTCAGTCATGCAATGGTTTAGGTTGGAGGGAACCTTAAAGACCACCCAGTGCAGCCACAACGAGGTCTCCCTGCAGCCTTCTCTTCTCCAAGCTGAACAAGCCCAGCTCCCTCAGCCTGCCTTCACAGCAGAGGTGCTCCAGCCCTCTGAGAATCCTTGTGCCCTCCTCTGGACCCGCTCCAGCAGCTCCACATCCCTCCTGTCCTGGGGGCCCCAGGCCTGGGCACAGCACTGCAGGGACACTCATCACAGAGGAATTACAGACTGCCCAGGGCTGGAAGAGACCTCAAGGATCATGAATCTCCAGCCCCCCTGCCACATACACACTCATCGCCAGCCTCCACCTGGACAGAGCCACGATGTGATCCTTGGCAATGAGAGATCCTTGGCAAGCTCAGAGGCTTCCTGAAATAAGTGTTCATGGGTCAGCAAGCGACACCCCAAAGAGCTGCTGCCATCTCCTAAAAGTCTCTCTTACCTCCAGTCTGGATGAGACCATGGCACGCTGCCTAACAGCCCTAAGAGCAGCA